ATGCAGGAATTATATCAGGAATGACCAAATATCTATTGCGAGGCAATTTTTAGTCGATCAGAGCTTTGCAGGAAAGGTGAAAACAGCAAAGGTGAAAACACATCTTAGTCGTTACTCGTAGAATCTACATATGCCATGGCTACTTTATCATAGCTGAGCTTGACCATTTGCTTTCCGCGCCAGTATTCGAGAAAGGAGAGCGAAGTCCTACGTCACATATCATCCACCCGCTGCTCCTTGGCTTGCTCTCTTTTAATTTTCAGTCTAACAATAGTTTTCATTCCTGTGGTTCTTGATTACTATTCAGTATTTATCACAGTATTCAAATTTCTAGAAAAAATGTAAATACTTCTTAACGTTACTCCTAGGAAAAAATATAAATATCTTCTTTCTTATGTCTTAAACTAAAAATTGCATATTTATGTACATATATTGCATTTTAGTAGCCTTTAAGTAATAAACAAAAATATGAGGACTCAATTATGTTTATGAAGAATCAGAACTTGATTAAGTTTTTACAATGATGAATGATAAATGTTGTTCCTTATTATGCAATAACTTCGTAGTCATTATTAAAAAGGATAAGCCGCAGAGGTATTTTTTAACTCTTTCATAACTAATATCAAACGGGTTACCCACAAAATTCTCATTTCAGATAATTAAAATTAGGGATTTTAAGGCTTAATTAGGAGTTTAACAATTTTTTTATAAAAGCAGAAATCACATGCAGTTACTATTGCATCATTCAAAGTTAGCCATATTTTAGCAAAAACATTTAAGCAGTTTTGTGATGGCGATTTTACGTAAGAAACATTTTTGGACATGTTATATTCAGTTTCCAATGATTTTAAGAACAAGATTGAAGTTATTGCTTCAGCTCTCTAAGTTGTCTCTAAATACTGTGATGACGGCGGATTGAGAAAATAAGGGAAAAGAAAGAAATTTCTTGTTTTTCCTTCAATTTGATAAGTACACTCAACATAGTTCCTTATTTATATTCTTATGGTTGAATATACTACATATGAATCAAAATCATAGGCCGCATAAAAGGATTTACAACTCTATGCCGAATTGAGCCGCCCAAACGGAAAAATGGTCAGTTACTCTTCCTGAGAATTAGGGCGGAACTGAACAAAGTCAGTTTGTCGTCTGTATGGTGCTCAAGGCGTTTGCCAACGATAGAGGTAGTCTTGTATTCCTTTCCACGATAAAATTCGTGGGCTTTTTCTGATTAGTTAAAACAAGTGAGATTAGTTACAACAACAACATGCCAAAATGAAGACGAATTCCAAGTTCGATTTAGTTACCACTGCATAATTCTCCAATTAAGTGTTAAGCAGTAAAAGATTGAAAGAAAAAAAGAAATATTTGTCATTACGTTCAAAAATGTTAATTCCATTCGAGGAAGTTCCCTTCTCTTACAACCAACCTCCTGGGAGAACTTTTGACTCGACAGTATTTGTAAGGCTTCCAAGTCACAAAGTCACTATGCCAGGGGTTCTCAACCAGGGGGGGGGGAGGAACTTTTTCCTTGAGTGGAATTTCATAGTTCTATGTAGGGGAATTTGGGTAGCCTTTTATTTATCTGTTAAGTATTTAGTTTTAGTTTATGAGTATAAATAACCACATATTTTCAAGTTTTGCAAATTATCGATATTTACTGCAATTGTTGCTCTTTTATTTACTAAACATGTAAAAAAAATCATCTAAATCTAGATAAATATATATATTAATTCTTGTGTTTGGGAAAAGAGGGAGAATGACCTTCTAGCAATGGTGCAAGGGATGCATGGAGCAAGAAATGTTGAGAATCCCCGAACTATACCCTTATAAATACGTATAGTTTTCCCGAGATTTGAACTAGGAATCAAGGCTATGCCAGCTGTTGAATGATCTAATTTTTTTCTTCTCTTTTATGTAGCTAAATTATCAAATGACCGATTTGTATTTCGGATCATTCACGTAAATAACTCAGCTAAATATTTCTTGGAATTTGCATAATTGTGTAACCCAATCTTCGTAGTGCTGCATTTTCTTTGCAGCATTACGAAGTTCTGTCGTCTGTAAATAAAATAAAAATATCCGGGAATCCTGTGAAAAATGTTCGGGGTATGGTGCTGCATTTTCTCTGTCAGATATTTAATATTTTGTCATAAATCTAAGAAATTTCTGTCTCTAATAAACTTCGTTTCAGCATTGTATTTTAAAAACAAAATGATTTTATGATTTTTTAAAAATAACTTCACCAAATATCATTTTTAATAAATTCTACGCTTTAGCAGAATGCTAATATTGCTTATTGTTGGGAGGAGTATTTGCATCTGACGTCTTCCTAACTGAAAGATTAAACTGTTAAAAAAATTCGTTGAACTGGAAATTCAAAACAAAATTAAAAATTTCGAAGCTGAAAACTTCAAAAATTGGCCGTATGTGCTAATCCTAAAGTATGCATCTTACTTTATTAGGTATTTCTCCCGCCTTCTTGGCATGGCTTCGTTTGGTGGGCGCGTGTTCCAGAGGTCCATGATTCGATTTCCGGCGAAGGTGTTGTTCGTTTTTCATGACTTCTGCTTCCAAATATCTAATATCTTTACAACTTTAGGATTAAGCAGCACCATTCTTCTTTATTCACTTATGAATTTGCTTGCTTACCATTCTACTGTATTCTGTGTCTACATATCTTTATGAATGCATATAATATTTTTTAAATATAGCGTTTAATTTCGAGTTTTTTTTATTTTTTAATGAATTACGTATGCGAAACAGAAGGGACGCGAAGGTGGCTGAGAAAACAGGATTAAAAAATTTTGTTCAAATAGAAATTTAATTTTGCATTTTAAATGAGTTAACAGGAGTTTAATTTTTATATTTAAATTACGTTTCATTAGCTTTTTGTAATCTGTTTTAGATATAGGTTTCAATAGACACTTATTGATTCAATCAAATTAGAGATTCCATGTTGGCACTGCTCGTGTATCATGTTCGTCTTTCACCTGCAGTCAAGCGGTTGATAAACGAACTGCTGACTCATAGACAGAAATATGGTTTTTATTTTTCTTGCTGATAAACATTGAATGCGAAATGGAAGAAGTGACGCATAAAGAATATCGAAAAAATTGACAGGTTCTGTAGCCTTAGAAAAGAAAAGAATTGTCAACCACTGACAATAACCGAAAGAGGAAGAAGGCATTGTCTTCATTGTTGTGACAACTCGAGCTGCAGACATATAATTTTTCCCTATTGGTAATCATGCCAGCAAATGTAATTGAGATGCAAGGATGTGATGTTTCTTTTTACTGCGGCTTTAATGCGACATCGCTTGCTTTGGAATATATTGCCTGAAACATCTACGTTTTGCTGCTTGCGTGTAATATACTACCTTAAAAGGATTTGCTTTTTACTCTTGGGTCTTTGCTAAAACTTGCTTTCTTCTTTTTGCCGCTTTTGATGACTTTTTTCAGACCTGTGACTGTGCAGCCTTTCTTGAACATCGCGTAAATTGAATGTGGATTTTCTCTCTGATTTAAAAAATTAGATGCAATGAACTTTGCATTAACCAGGTTCCCTTTAAACCTGTCTAAAAAAGGTGAAGTTCGTTTATTGTGGAACAACGGGGAAATTACAATCACGGCTGAAGTGATAGCAAAAGGTTTCATAGTTATTTATAATTTAGTCTCTTTCATTCTATTCTAACGATGTTTCTTCGCCTGTTATTTAGAATGTATTCTTGCTATTTCGATGACCGATTCAAATTAACTCATTTTTCAGATTAAACTGCTTGAAAATATAGGTAAATTGATAGAAGTATTTTTCTGTTAAATATTCTATAAAGTTCGTTATTCTTCTACTCGTTATTTCTGCATTTTTTTGCCGTATCGTTGGACTGTGATTTCATTTTACCGTAACCCTCGTTTTCTCTATTTGTCCAGCAAATTGTGAATTGATTATGATAAGCTTCATTACGCATATAAGTTTATATGAGCACTTTTTTTTGTCTAATTAGAAACAACGAAAATTTTTCTAGTGAGATTTTAAAAATCATTAAGCGAGAAAGTAAATTAATCTGGCTATTATTTCATATAGATTTATGTTGAGTATTTTTTATCACGCATAATCCTGTGGTGATATGCATTTAAATATATAGTATGCGAAAGTGGAGAACTTGTTTCTTCTTTTACAGGCTTCTGACCAGACTGATTTGAATTGATGAGGTACGGTAAATCAAAGAAATTTGTTGTAGCTCTCAATAGAATTCTAAAAGGTAAAAAGAAATCTCTTACCTTTCTTTCACCCGGGAGCAGAGCTTGTTCCATTCCAAATTCTTATTCGATGAAATATCTAAAAAATTCCAAGCTTTTGCATAAAGACTGACACTTCTGTATAAATAAAGATACATTTATACATTTTATATACAATTATTAGGTTACATGAAAATTACGCGCTCTCCAGCTAACAGTCATTCAAGTTCGGGTTCAGAGTTCTAACTACGTTCTTACGTAGGATTATTCTGGAGTTTAGATGTAATGGCGCTGATAGTTCGGAGTTTAGATGTGGTGGCGCTGATAGTCCGGAGTTTAGATGTAACATCACCTCCCACCATTGAGATCCGACGATGCGGAGGAACTCAATACACACAGGTCCAGTCGATGAGGAGGCCGAACAACTCGCCCACCTCTGGTCATCACTCGAGGACTTGAGGCAGGTTCTGGAATACTAGCAGCCTGATCAGCCTTGACCAGTTGCATGGTCGTTTCTATCTCGAGGTGCTCTGTCGGGGAACGGAGGGCCAACGGATTCGGAAGTAGAGATCTCCAACGGGAAAAGCCGGGGCACTGGACGAAGCAGAGTTCCATTTCTTGTCTTGACCCTCGCTAGTCTCAACTATTCCCGTCTTTACTGGGGAAAAGCTCGACTATCTTGGCTAAAGGCCAATGTATGCGTCGTCTGGCTCTTCCAATGAACGACATCGCCTACTTGCAACTGTTGAAATTTTCCCTTCTTTATTGTCTCAACTGACCAAGATATTCATTACGAAATCTGTTTCGTAGATCATGTCTTATTCTCTGTCGGTATTTGGCTCGGCGGTTTAGTTCTTTGGAATCTACGTAGTCCATATCAGAAACGCCTGATGACGGCAATTCTTGCAGGAACATCATAGGGGTCAGTGGTGATGGATCTTGATTATCCTCTGATACGTATGTGATAGGTCGCGAATTAATCACTTGTTCACAGTCACATAATATAGTATATAATTCTTCATAATTTAAGGACGTTCGACCTAACAACACTTTTCTTAAATTTTCTTTCACCATTTGCACAAGCCTCTCCCACCAACCTCCCCACCAGGCGGTGGTCGGAGGGTTGAACTTCCATCGTATCCTTTGGATGGAAGCAGCTGAACATATGGCGTTCCAATTAACTTTCTTAAGAACACTGTTAGTCCCTACAAAATTAGTTTCGTTGTCGGAATATATCATGTAAGGTCTACCTCTTCTGGCAATGAATCTACGTAAAGATTGGATGAAAGTTTCTGTAGATAGAGAAGTAACTAGTTCGAGGTGAATGGCTCTATAAATGGCACACGTATACAAGACTATCCACGCTTTAGACCCCTCACGGAGATAGAGGGGACCTGCTAGATCTACACCGACGACTTCAAAAGTCGACCCTTCTCTGACTCGGTCTTCGGGTGGAAATCCTGGCTCGACTTCCACTCTTTGTGCAACAAATCTTTTACATCTTACACATTTTCTGATAATATTTCGAATACTTTTCCTGGATTTTAATATCCAAAAGTTTTCTCTAAGATTTGTCATTAAAGTGCTGACACCAGCATGCTGGAGTTCTAGATGTTTCTCGTAAATTAGTCTCTCAACAAGAATATGTTTTGAAGGTAAAATGATAGGATATCGGAAATTTTCATTATCTCGACGCTGCTTGATCTCTTCTTATCCACCCCAAAGCTGTAGAAGAATCACTCCAGAACACTGTTCTACAATTCTTAAGTTTCAAATCTGATAGAATTGTTTTGGCAAGCCTGGCACCTATCAGACAGGAGAGAAGTTTAAGACGTGGAATCGTAAGTTCCTTAATAGGGGCTATTCGACTTCTCGCGCTTACTAACTGAACCTTTACACCTTCGATGGTTTCAGCTCTTAAAAATGCACATGTGGCATAGGCTTTTTAACTAGCATCCGAAAAAACGTGGAGCACTACGGTATCTTCGTTTTCGTAATCAATATTTAACCAACGAGGAATTTCAATCTGAGATAGAAGAGGCAATTGGTTCAACCAAGTCCCAAACTGCTGACTTAGGGGAAGAGGAAGATCTTCATCCCACTTAATCTTCTGGTTCCAGGTTTCTTGCAAAATTAGTTTAGGAATTACAGTTATCGGTGCAGTAAAGCCAATGGGATCAAAAATTTTCTGGGTAATTGACAAAACTTTTCTTTTGGTAATAGGTTCCCTCAAGTTAAATGTTTTTCTTCGATCTTGCAACTCAAACTATCTTTTTCTAAATCCCATACTAATCCTAATACTGGGACAACTTTCGTCTTGCTCTCTATCTCATCGATCATGTCAATGCGAAAATTTGATCGCCAACATCTCAAATTGAAATGCCCTGAAGCCAAAATCAATCTTGCTTCTTGAACGAAATTTTTCGGCTTCATCTACGTGATTTAAGCTAATTAACGAATTATCGAGGTAAAATGAATCCTTCAAATATTAGAAGTTTCTACAAACTTTTCTGGGACTGTAGTCAAAAGGTGACTAAGTGTAGCGGCTAGCAGAAACGGACTTGATGTGAGTCCAAAAACAACTCGGTTATGTCTGTAAATTTTAAACTTATGTTGATTATCGAACCATAGAAACCTTAAAAAATCTCTATCCTTTTCTGCTATTTTGATTTGACAAAAAGGCCTTTTCGATGTCAGATGACACTCCTATGCGATATTTTCGAAAACGATTCAATATACGTGGAATAATTTCTATTAAATTAGGTCCTTTACTCAAACAATCATTGAGAGAGGGTGAATTCTTAGAACGTGCAGATGCATTGAAAACAGGCCGTATCTTTGTAGTTTCACTAGGCTCCTTTATTACAGGTCTGTGTGACTAGTGCACTCCTTCCTCTAACAAGTTCTTCCTTTTCCTCAGTTACTACCTCAATAATGTTCTTCGCTTCCCACTCATCAAATATTTCTTCGTAATCTTTTCTTCTGCGCGTGTTAATTAGTTTACTTTCGGTTTTGACGAGGTGTCTTTTTGCCATAGTACGGTTACTGGATAAAACGGATTTATCTAAAATAAAGAGTAAAGTTACTTCATATCTCCCTGAGCTATCTCGTTTTACACTTTTTAAGAAATGTTTTCGAGTTTCTTCTTCCAAGACACTTTTCGTTTTGTTTTCCTCCTCACTTGAAATCCCCAAGGTGTCTAAATGCCAAAGATTGGACAAATTTGTATCGGAAACATGTAAGGATAAAGAAAGAACGGACAGGGAACTCGACGTATTCGCATTCTCTTTAATCTTGCCCATTAAAGTCCAGCCTAACTTGGTCTCAAAGGCTACGTAATCCCCCGCAAAATGTTCAATTCTTTCAGTGAACAATTGTGCTGCGGTGTTCGCTCCTAACAGCATATGAATCTCTTCCGGATTTTCTTGAAACAGACAGAGATTTCCATTCGCATGATTGTCGTTGATAAGGATTCCCCTTTTTCCATTACTTTAATTAACTTTTCGTCTTTGATCTTAGGTAGTGACGAACAAATTTTCCTCTGGTCTAGTGCTTCGATTTTACACCTTACTTTCCATCTAAACTAGTTAAATCTATTTGATAACGATTATGATCTTCCGAAACTTCTACACCCCCAAATAACCCATGTTTCATTCCTTCAGTTCCTATCTTTTCTAATTTCAACGTTTTAGCAGCATATTGACTTATGTACGTGTTCTAACTTCCAGTGTCTATTAGCAATCTTAAATAACCCTTTAAGATTTTCCCAGCTACCCCTACGACCAAAGTTTGTAAATAAACTTCAGAACGGTTGCTTTGATTCGAAAGTACTTTATTTTCAACTTCCTGGACAGTTTTTGATCGTTCCCTTTTTACTCTCGGAATTAATTCTGTTACACATAATCGTAGAATGCTTAGAGTGACAATGGGAGCAAAAAATGTTAGAATCACAAAATTTGCTGATGTGACCCTTATTTTGTAAACACCTAAAACAAGTGCCATTTTTGCGTAGTATTTCAACCTTTTCGTCATTCGTTAGTTTCTGGGCAATAGGACATTTATGGCTTGAATGGGAAAAATCTCCGCAAAAAACGCATGCCTTAATCAATTTTTCTTTAATACCCGTGGACACTAAATCAGAAGCAGAAGAAGCTTTCGTTTCTAATTTATTGCTCTTTCCATCACTGAAATGACGAGTGTTTATTTTCTGGACTGCATACGCAGACTGACGGCGCCCACTATTCGCTGTCGAATGCTCTGAATTCTTATTTATGACTTCCGCTTTTTCGCGTGAATCTAAACATTGAGCTATAATCAAGCACAAGTTTTTAATATTACAATACGCACTTGCGTTACTCATTCTGTTAATCTCAAGCAAAATATCTTGGGAAAGTGATTTCAGAATTATTGGACATAACACACTTGATAAATTCTCGAGAGACTGACCCAAATTTTCTAAACATCTTAATTCGATAGAAATATATCATAAAATTTCTAAAGGCGCGAACATCATTCGAGATTTTCAACGGTTTAGTGTTCAAAATGTTATTTATGTGAGTGTAAATGAGCACATCTGTTTTCGCAAATCTTTCTTTTAGAAGATCAATTGCGGAATCGTAATTAGCAGCAGTAATCGGTAATCCTTCGACTGTATTTAAAGCAGAACCAACTAAATGAGCTTTCAAATAATTAAATTTGTCTATTTTATCTAATGAATCATTTTTATGAAAGGCAGATTCGAAACTGTTCCAAAAAGTTAGCCAGTTGTTTATATCTCCGTAGAATTTCGTTAAAGTTAACTTAGAGTAATTTAATTCGAACAGACTCGTTATGTTTTGGTTCGCTTTTGACTGTCAGTACTGAACTGGTTATTTACTACCGTTTCAGTAGATTTGCGTTTTAATTCGTCGATTCTTTTGGAGGTACGGAAACTGCATTTAACGACCTTTTGACGATATTCTTCAGATTTTTGGAATTCAGCATCAAATTCTTCGACTTTAAAAAGAGGTTCTAATTCTGTATCGACACTTTTAAGCGATTCGAAATTATTCTTTAATATTTCTAAATTTTCTTCCAAATCATGAATTTTCGGATCAATTTCCGAAAGCTGCGATTCCAAATCTTTAAGCGATTTCGTTACTGATGTTCGGAGAGCTGCGCGCTTCTTTTTTAAATTTATTTAAAATCTCTTCAGACATGTTCTTAACAGTTCAAAAATTCAAAAAGTAATCAATAATTGTATTCTTAATCTTTATTGTCTAATTTAAATTCTTATTCTTTAGCTCGGGCGTCCCAGCAGGGATGCCAAAAAATTTGTTGTATCTCTCAATAGAATTCTAAAAGGTTAAAAAGAAATCTCTTACCTTTTCTTTCACCCGGGAGCCGAGCTTGTTCCATTCCAAATTCTTATTCGATGAAATATCTAAATAATTCCAAGCTTTTGCATAAAGACTGACACTTCTGTATAAATAAAGATATTATATTTAGATACATTTATACATTTTATATACAATTATTAGGTTACATGAAAATTACGCGCTCTCCAACTAACAGTCATTCAAGTTCGGGTTCAGAGTTCTAACTACGTTCTTACGTAGGATTATTTTGGAGTTTAGATGTAATGGTGCTGATAGTTCGGAGTTTAGATGTGGTGGCGCTAATAGTCCGGAGTTTAGATGTAACAAAATTAATTTAGAGCAAATTCTTAATTCATATAAAACTCGCATTAACATAATCAAATATATTTAATTTTGAATGGCTTTGCTATCTTTCGACTGCTAAAAAATTAATGTCACATAAATACATACACTGCTCGACATTGAAAATTCAACACCAAGAAGGAGTCATCAGAAAGTGATGAAATTTGGAAAAACGACAGAGACAGCAAACAGCAATAAGTGATCTTTATTTCAAAATGATAGTCAGAATACAGAGCGAGAACGCCATCGGCTCAGTAGGTTGTAGATATACCGTGGGCAGCGATAGGATACCGCGGGCAGCGACGCACGAAGAAGCACGTCTAGGCATAGAGCCAATAAGAGTGCGGATGGTGTCTTGAGGGATGACTCTCCATTCTCTTTCAACCATTTGCCACAGTTCGTCTTCTGAACGAGGCAGAGGCAGAGTATGCAAACGGCGTCCAATCACATCTCACACATGTTCGATTGGTGACAGGTCAGGAGAGTACGGTGGCCAGACAAGCATCTGTATTCTTTGCAGAGCATGTTGGCAGATGCGAGCACTGTGTGGGCGGGCGTTATTCTGCTGAAAAATTGCATTAGGCAGCCCGTGAAGGTAGGGGATTGCCACCGGCCGCAGTACATTATTCAAGTATCGTCGGGCCGGCATAGTGCCCTGAATACGAACTAGAGGTGACCTGGAATCGTAGGCAATAGCGCCCCAAACCATTATACCACGTCGTCGCGCGGTGGGGTGTTCCACAGTTACTGCCGGATTAGATCTGTCTCCACGTCGACGCCACACCCGTATGCGGCGACTGTCACTGAATAAACAAAAGTGTGACTCATCTGAGAACACAACGTTTCTCCATTCTGTCATCCACATCGCTCCAGTCCTGT